TTTTGTATCTGATATTGCAAATATTTCCTTAATTGGGCTGACTATTGTTGGCTGGTATATATCAATATTTAAAACAGGAAATTTATCTATTTAAATTATCTATTAAAATTGTCATTAATCTATCTCGGACAAGATATAATATCTGTTTTTGATATACATGTAGTAGGGTAGTGAGGGGATTGAATATTTCATTTTGATCAGAAGTTGTATGTTTTTATCTTAGTTCCCGAGTACCAAAATAAGTAGGGGTGTTCTTGGTGGAGCAATTAAACCACTTGTTTCTCACTGTTGTGGGTTTGAATCTTGCATTCTTTCATGCTAGGGAGTTATTTTAAACCAGCTAACAGATAATCAGTGGTTTTACTGAAGTATTAATTAAGATTGTTAAAGGCTTAAAATTTACGTTTTTTGTTGTTTTTTAATTTTAACTAAACACTGATTATCATTTTAACCTTGCCATGCCGTGCTATTTATTAGTTTGTTTGTTTGTTTTGTTTGTTTGTTTGATTGATTTGGTTTTATGTCACACCAACACAGTATAGGTCATTTGGCGACATTCCAACTTTACTGGTGGAGGAAGACCTCAGGTGCCCTTCCGTGCATTATTTCAGGCACGAACAGGCACCTGAGTAGAACCACTGACGTTCCGTAAGCTAGCTGGATAGCTTCCTCACATGAAAGAATCCAAAGTCCCTGTCGGGATTCAAACCCACAGCGATGAGGGGTAAGTGGTTTGAAGTCAATGACTTAACCATTCGGCCATGGACGCCCCCAATTTATTAGTACATGGAGTAGTTAGAATAGTCTGCTTTGTATAAAATTTGGGACTACCCATTGTCTATTACATTCTAAGGATATCTTTGATATATTGATATTAATCTTTCTGCCCCTGCTGTAGGTTTGTGCTGTGCCTTGTTAGTCAGATTCTGCAGGTAAGAAAGTTTTCCAGCAAGCTGACGGAATGTCGGTGGTTCTACTCGGGCGCCCGTTTGTGCCTGAAATAATGTACAGAGGGGCACCTGAGGTCTTTCTCCGGTAAATGTTGGAAAGTCCTAACTTTCGACCTATACTGTGTTGGTGCTACGCTAAACCTTAACAAACAAAAATCTATAATATCGGAATACTATAAACTGAGCATCTGAGCAACAAACAGCATAGGGTCTGGTTACTTGATGTATACGCCTGGACCTGTTATAATTTCTGTCGAGCATTCAGTGTAAAAAAGTACAATTGTACAATTTTAAACAAATATTATTGACAAGTTTGTATAGATTTTACACTCTTATCAATAAAGGATTTATACAGGGTATTAGTCATAAACTCAAAATGCTTTTTTACGTGACCTAATATCTGTTTGCATGTCTAATTTTAAGACTGACTTCAATTTTTTAAGTACAATATAGATACTAGTGATTAAGTTCTTTGGAGTTTTAACTTTGATTAGTATATAATGAAAATATCCTTCCTGTGTGGAGATAAATTGTTCATTAATAAAGAGGTTTAAAGTGTGATGTATTGTTTTAGAATTTACTAATATTGTTTTGTTTTAAATTGGTTCATTCCCATGTATGAAATCTTGATTTTTAGGTCCTAACAGGATGTGAGTGCAGGTTTATTAAGTTCAATGAAAATCTTAAAATTCTTATAAATATATATTTTTATCTGGCATACAATTATTTACATACATGTATTAACTAGGATTACAAACGTATTTGGGATGTATGACAGGGTTTCTAAATAAGATATATCATGAATAAGGGTATCTTGTTTAGAAACTAGTTGATTCATAACTAACAGAGGAGGTTTAATTTATCTTTGCCCTGTTTTAGCCAAATGTGGAAAAATTTGCCACAAATATAGAGCTAGGCCAGCCTGGCTCAGTGGAGTCTGACCAGGTTCTATACTGGTGGTGGCCAAGTTCTTATAGTAGACATTTGAAACCCCTGAAACTTGAATGGACTGTTTAAAATTTCAAAGCTGGGGAACCCTTTTACAGAAATTTCAGCGGTTTAGGGAAATTTGGGGGGTTTGGAAAGAAAAGTAAAGTACTGTTGGGGGCCCCAAATATTTAAAACCCTTTAAAAATTTTAAAAGGACTTTTCCCAAATTTCAAAGTTGGAAAAATTTTAAATTTAACAGAAATAAAGTAGGGTAAGGGGGGAAGGGTTTTTTTTCCCCAGTTTTTTTGGGGAAAACTTTAAACCCTTCCCAAGGGGAATTGGGAATTTTCAGTGATCCCTTTTTTAAAAAATTGACAAAAAATGCTTTAAATTTTAAATTTTGCAGTGTTTTAAAATTAAAATGATTTTTAGGATGGAAATCTTTAAAACTTTGTTTTCACCATTAAAAGTGAATAAGCACTTATTTTCAAAGATTTTAGAATTTGTAATTCAATAATTTTTTTTTGTAACTTTCAATTGGGAACTTTTTCCTGTAGATTGGGAAAATAATATACTATTTTCAATTGGGAATACAAATATCGGCAATAAAATAAGCCAAAAAAATACCTGGAAAGGGTGGAGTAACATGCAGTCAATACATAGGTCTGAAATAGGAAGTCATGCAACTTGTTTTTATGAGCTGTAAAAGGCAAGTGGGAAAATTTTAAGATATGGACGCAAGACATTTGAAATAAGTAATTTTCGCCTTTAAGAATGACTGACATTAAGATGGCTAGATTATGTGACATAGTAACAAGATTGTATAAGATAGAACTATTTATAAGTTGCTGCTTGAAGTGTGGGAGAGATCACGTACAACTTGAACATTGTAATATGAATAATAAATCTAGTTGTTGTTTCCTAGAAAGGTCCACTCATAGGGGAAATTGGGAGGGAAACTTATAAGGGGCAAGTTTAAAATTAGAAACAGCAGCCTGTTTATGTTAAGTTGTGATACAACACCATTAATTTGTCATTTCAGACTACAATGTATGGATCCTCTAAAGATAAAATGGATAAACACAAATTTTAACTGGAGAAATTTTTTTTCAGAAATATAAGAAAATGTATACTTTTTGCATGAAGATGGGTTTGAATTAAAGGACTTCCCAATTTGCCCTTAAAATTCACTAACTGGCCTTTTACGTCTGATTTTAAACCTCATAATTTTATCAGATTTGAGCTATTTTTATCTCACCAGAGGACAATACAAATAATGTATATTGATCACTTACGGTCTGTCTGTAACAATGGCATTACTAAATGGGCAATGGCAAAAAAAAAAAAAAAAAAAAAAAAAATGGCCACCATTCAGGTGGAATGTCTGTTCATCCACATGTCACTTTAAACGAACATCTCTGGTTTGGGTGGGGGTGGTGAGTAAATCATTGGTGACAGGGCAAAAAATTTGGGTATTTTTTTATTAGAAGATTATAGCTCCATAACAACAGAAATGGTATGGCAATGCCTATTGAAAATTGAATTACAATATAGTATTACAAGATTTTTGATATGCTTTCAAGCATTTTCAATTCAAAATATAAAATGTAGCACGCAACTTTGTTTACTTTACCTCAAATTACTTGTTACACAACTCGCCTACCACTTTTTGTCAGTAGTTAAATATACATTTTATATAGTAATAAATAACAATTTAAAAAAAAACAACAAAAAGCTATTTAAAGCCATGTTATGCCTCAGAAACAAATATTAAATGTTTCCTTCTTTAGAAACGGAAAAAATGATTTTTTATAACATTTTAAATAATAGGTTTAGAGAATGTTTAATGTATATCACTTGAGCAAAGTAGCACACGAAATCAAATTATTTGACATAAAAGTAGCAAAATGTAAACAAAGTAGTATTAATTTTGACTTCCATAGAAAATACTAAACCAGTTTATTACTAATTGTACTTGTTGGACTTTTGGTATATAGAATTACTAGCTTTATGCAAATATTTGATTGTGCTGTAAATAACACATTATTTTGTCACCTTAGTGCAGTAACAGGTTGACTTCTTAAAATTTGAGCCGCGTCATGACAAAACCAACGTAATGCGTTTGCGACCAGCATGGATCCAGACCAGCCTGCGCATCCGAGCAGTCTGATCAGGATCCATGCTCTTCGCTTACAAACCCAATAAGAAGTAGAGAAACTGATAGCGAACAGCATGGATCCTGATCAGACTGCGCGGATGCACAGGCTGGTCTGGATCCATGGTGGTTGCAAAACCATTATGTTGGTTTTGTCATGACGCGGCTCAAATGATTTAGATAGAGGATATTTGTTTAGTTCAGTGTTTTAGATCGGAATATATTTCACCGAGTGAGCACCAAAAGGTATATTTCACGAGTGGCGACACCACAAGTGAAATATGAACTTTTGGTGTTCATGAGGTGAAATATATTTCAATCTTACTTTAAACTAAATAAATTTTCTTTTTATTATATGCAAAGAAATGTTTAAAAGACATTTTAACCTAGTACTAAATGAAAAGGGTGCCAAATAATAAAACAATGTGTTGCATTTACAACGTCACATCATTAAGTTGGTTTCCAAGTACTGTGAACGCTTGTATTTCACTGAAACAATGTACCGGACAGTGAAATTATCAAATTGATAATTTCACAGTTTAAAACAGTGAAATTATCAGTTTTTATTTCACTATAAACCACCAAAAAGCATGTAATAATAGGAGTTAACCTTTTACTGCACTTAGGTATTTTCTTCCACCTTCAAAAATTTGAAATTATTATTCATACCCCCATATGTATCTATACAGAATGCATGTTTAACTGAAAATGTTAAACCTGACCAAGATAGTTTAAACTAATTCACAGTTATAATTATTTTAATTTATATTAATTAAACTCTGAAGTTGTTTTATATTTTTTTATTAAAAAATCAAGAAAAATGATCAAAAGTCAAGTCTCTGGTTCTTTATTTAGCAACCCACAAATTAGTCATTATTTTTCGGGGAACACTTAATCTTATCACAACAAAATGAAATGACTTTACGGTATATGGTGATAATTTCTACATTCCGTGTATAATTGTCAATTTCCTGCGTACAGTGACCACTTGATTTCAGTATACATCGAAGGGTAACTGACTATAACAATATTATAACAATTATCATCCTCAGTAAAAGTGAATCAGCTTTCCTGATGTACTAAATAAAATTTCATTCATTTTATATATTTATACATGTGACGTTCAAAACATATGGGGATATATTAGGATACGGTAATACGATTGTGTTTGATTCAGATAGATTAGTCATTGTAAGTATAAAATTGACCAGTGGTCATTTATTTATCGGTTGTTATTTATGACTGTACAATAATATTTTTATTTAGAGACCAAGATCTAAAAGGACGGGTTGACAGGATATGTACAATAATATTTTTATTTAGAGACTTTGATCTAAAAGGACGGGTTACAGGATATGAATGTAAAATTATTAAGTTACATTAAATTATAGTCAAGAAAGAAGATCCTTGATTTTCTTAAACAATTAGGTCATGTACATGTATATGACATGGTGTATAACTTTTGCGAAGTTTGATATAAGCTTTTACTAACTTCCTGAACTATACTTCCTGAACTATATTAAGTGATATTTACAGTGGATAATCTGACTTACATAGAAGTGAAAAAACTCCTTCAGAATTTATGTTTTCTCTTGCTAGCAATTAGTTGAATTCTTTATACCACAGGTGATTTCCCTTGATTTTTGTATGTAGGAAGGGGAGTACCTATCCTGACTAGCAATTATATAAGAGCAACAGACTCCTACTCTGGAGGTTAATTAAGAGTTATATTATACAAATAAGAATTAACTTTTGGCCACATTTGAGACTTTCAGCTTTTGGCCACATTTGAGACTCAGCTTTTGGCCACATTTAAGACTCTCAGCTTTTTTTTTACACATTTGAGACTCCGCTTTTTGCCACATATAAGACTCTCAGCTTTTTTACACATTTGAGACTCCGCTTTTGGCCACATTTAAGACTCTTAACTTTTGGCTACATTTTAGACAGTTTCAGCTTAAGGCCACATTTAAGACTCTTAACTTTTGGCCACATTTTAGACAGTTTCAGCTTAAGGCCACATTTAAGACTTATAGCTTTTGGCCACATTTGAGACTATTAGCTTTTGGCCACATTTATGACTCTCAGTGTTTTGCCACAATTGAGACTCTTAGCTTTTAGCCACATTTGAGACTCAGTGTTTTGCCACATTTGAGACTCTCAGCTTTTGGCCACATTAAAGACTTAACTTTAGGCCACATTTGAGACTCTCAGCTTTAGGTCACATTTGAGACTCTTAGCTTTTGGCCACATTTGAGACTCTCAGCTTAAGGCCACATTTGAGACTCTCAGCTTAAGGCCACATTTGAGACTCTCAGCTTAAGGCCGCATTCGAAACTCTTAGCTTTAGGCCACATAATAATTTGAGACTCTCAGCTTTAGGTCAAATTTGAGACTCTTAGCTTTTGGCCACATTTGAGACTCAGCTTAAGGCCACATTTGAGACTCTCAGCTTAAGATCACATTTGAGACTCTCGGCTTAGGCCACATTTGAGACTCAGCTTAAGGCCACATTTGAGATAACAGCTTCAGGTCACATTTGAGACTCTCAGCTTAAGGCCACATTTGAGACTCTTAGCTTTTTGTCATATTTGAGACTCAGCTTAAGGCCACATTTTAGACCGATTCTTTACTTTTTGCCACATTAAACTTAAATGTTTCAATAAAGTAGCATATTCAAGAGCATAACTTAAAATGGGTTTGACAATAAAATGCAAACAATTTAAAAACTCATAATTCATTTTATTTGTAATTATTAAATTTCACAAGGTCTTTAGTTTTGATTTACCCTACCTTATATTATAAATGCAGCCAAATTATCAGCAATGGTAGCATTTATATCTGGTATAATGCCCGGTAAATAATTTGAATTTCTCATATAGATGTTATGTTATAGTCTTTGCATATGTTTCTGAGATATTCTTAAGACAAGACTATTCCTGAAAATGAAAACAAATAATGCTAGAAAAAAAGCAACCAATCCCAAACTTAAAAGTTGGAATATACAGTAAAAACTCTGAAAACCGGACCCTCTGAAAACCGGAATCCTCTGAAAACCGGACAATTTTAAAAGTCCCATATTTTATCCTTTTAAGTTCATTGAAAAAAAATCCTCTAAATACCGGAACCTCTGAATTCCGAAAACCGGACTATTTTCTATGGCTACTAATGCTAATCATGCATAAAAAATCCTCTGAAAACCGGACAGCAATTTTAAGTGTCAACTTTTTGTGTATTTTAATGTACATAAAAACATAATCTCAACAGGTGACATGTTCAATTTCCACCTCTCTTATCTGTGCAGGTGTTAAAACACTTCCAGTGTGTGTGTTAATTTCTTATTACCAATTAAATTATAGCTCTTTCATCATAAGTTTTTCCCTGTGTAGGTATGATTTTCAAAATGTTTTTATTTTTTTTTTAATTAGACATGTCTAAAAGAATTAGGAAACTTTAGTTAAATGATTCCTGTTTTTCTTGAAATTTTTACACTGAAGTTATCTTTGTTTGGAAATTAATCATTTGCAAAAATAATAATACATGTACTTAATTTCATTAATTACATATTTCAAAGCCAATGAAAAAGATATGATATATTTCAGACAAAATGTTGTTTTAATTTCTGATTTTCTAAATTATGTTTTTGGATTTGCATAATTATATTACTCAAGATATTTATTGCAAAAAGAAATTAAAATATGAAAAGGTTTGAAAAGTAAATACAAAATGATTGAACAAAGTCATTGTTCAAGCACATCATACTTATCAATGAATGTATAAAACCTCTGAAAACCGGAATCCTCTGAAAACCGGACTTTTGGTCAAGTCCGGACAGGGTCCGGTTTTCAGAGTTTTTACTGTACTGTGATAAGGTTGGTTTGTCAGTTTGTCTGTATTTATGGAAATACTTAGATAACTTTAGAAGGAATGAGCCACAGCTTATGTGACTGTTATAGGGAAATTGCCCATGGCAAGTAAATTACCCCTATTGATTGAGGTCAAGGTCACAGTGACAATTTGCTTAAAATCAGTGTGAAATCAATAACTTGAGAAGGAATAATAGGATTGTTTATGTAACATAGTAGTGTCTAATTTTCTTGTAGACATAAAAGCCTTATCCAGTCAATATCTTCAGAAAAAATAAGTAACTTTGGAAGGGTTATTTTGGTATTGATATTTGGGGGGGCATAAGGTTAAAGGTCAAAGTGACACTTAAGATCTAAAATCCTGGTAATAGTTTCCTTTATTTAACAAGTTTGTTAATATGCTACTCTGACATTGTGATAAGCAAATGAAGTGGGAGTGTCAGACCTATGGACACACCTAGTTTAAGGAGAGAATCATGATTCTGTTTGCCTGTTTTTTGCCAGCAATTGTAACTGTTATACAATCTTAATTTTATAAATCTCTTAAACAACGGACTCAGGTCTAAAGTCCCATTATGCAAATTTTTATAGGGGAAAAAAGTTACATTGTCAAGTGCAGCTCTTAAAATCTGTTATACATTATATCCTGGTTAAAATTTACCTCCTATCTCAGCTTACCTCAAAGTGAAGGGGAAAAAAACAAACATATACTTGAATGGTTTATTTTGATGCAAAATGATTTTGTATCTTAATTTGTTATCTAAAATCTGTGTAAATTAACACTTTTTATTATTCACAATTAAAGGTGTTTTCTTCCTGTTTTGGAAATAAGCTTAAGATTTCCAGGTAAATGTAAATTTTTGATCACGAACAATCTTAAGGAATTTACACTGTAGCCTCGATAACTCGCTCTTCACTATAACGCTAATCTCAGTAGAGCGCTCATAGACCTTGGCTCCCAAAAAAAAAAAAAAAAAAAAAAAAAAAAATCTTCAAAAAAAAAAATAATTTTTTTTTTAAGTAGACTTAGATTTATAGCGGCTATAACGCTTGCTCAATTTGACTTTCAAGTACAATAAACAATTGTTATTAGGACATTTATGAGCGCCAAAGGTGTGAAAAACATGCCTGTAAGGGTTTATTTGCTCTTTTGTTGTTTTACCTGTCTTCATATTGTTTCCAAAATCTCAAATTCATATCATAACTGTGACATTGGCAACCGGTGGTGAGTATAAATAAACTAAAATTCACACACATATCTTTGACATGTAAACCTCGCTGAATTAAATAACCCACAAGCCCAAAATCAATTTAAATCCTGCACTGTAAATAGAGCGGCCATGACAGGAAGTAATTGGCGTCGATTTACTAGGGGACACAACTAAAGCTGGACTGTAAATTACAGTGTTATTTACAGTCCAGCTTTAGTTGTGTCCCCTAGTTAATCACACGTCATTACAGTAATGGCTAACTGTTAGTGTTTACACTACATTCATGATTTATAATTTTCTTTCGAAAGTTTTTCATTTCTTTTAAATATAATTAGTATTATTGTGAATATAATACATGTTTACATCATTGAATGGCTTTAGAAAAAGATAATGTCGATATTCATTGAACAGTAAGTAAAAAAAATCAGCGTTATATATAATATGTGGTGGGTGGGGTAATGCGGTAATTTCGCAATGAGCGTTCTAATGAGAGCCTCGTTAGAACGCGTTGGTGAGACATTGGACCCCAACATGAGCGTTTTAATGAGGCTGAAGTGTATTTATGTTTTTAGTATTTTTTGTAATATTTAGACTATCTGATAATGTTTTCATCTGTTACTAAACAGGGTGTCTAAATATAGGTATTTGTACAAGTTGAATAAAGAATCTAATAATGTTAATGCAATGTTTTATATAGAACAAAAAAAAACACCCAAAAAACCCCAAAACACATTAAAAAAACCCATCATACTAAGGTTAAATTTTTTGTCTAAAAGGTGGCATCTCCAAAACTACTGAAGGGCATTAGTTGAAACTTCATACACTTATTTGAGAGAATAATAGAAGGCCACTATCCAAGGCTGATAACTCTGACTTGGATTTTAACATAATAATGGGCCTTTTTGAAGCTTCTACATACGTATCTAGGTTCTAAAACTGAGAATAGTTAAGCTGACAGCTTTTGTGTTTTTCCTCTCATCAGACTCAGAGATTAGTGTAATGCTATAAAATGAAAAGCATTCAAAGGTTACTTAGACATGCTTGCTAATTCAAAATTTAAAACAGTTTAGGTTTATGAACTTTTGTGTACCTTATATATATAATATATAATTAT